TTTGCCCAGAATGGCCTCGAAAGTTGATGCTCTCGATCTTAGCTTCCCCAGTAGCTAGGATTATGTGAGTGAGCCACTGGCACCCAGCTCTACTTTTCTTTTTGACAGAGGCAAATATGTGGCTGCCAACATATATAATAAGAGAGTAACTAAGAAATATTGCACTAGTAATGGGGGAAGGAAGGGTCCTGGAACAGGAGGATCATGAGTTAGAGACCAGTCTGAGGTACTTACTGAGACCATCTCCAAAAACAAAACACAAGAAAATAAAAAGAACCTCAGCAAAGCAAGAATCTTCAACTACAGAACCCTCCCTTTTATTACATTATCACAGAAAGCGAAGTATAAACAAAACCTACAGGGGAGCAGCACGTACTAAGTAGTCCCTATATAAAATCAAATGACCACAATACCACTATCCAGTGTTTTGGAAAAAATTTTTTCCTTTTTTCAGAATGGGGTTTGAACTCAGGGCCTCACTCGTATAGGCAGGCACTCTAGCACTTAGAGCCTCTCCACTAGCCCTTTTTTGTTTTGGGAATTTTTGAGATAGGGTCTCAAGAACTACTTACCCCTGCTGGCTTCAAGAACCTCGATCCTCCTGATCTCTGCCACCTGAGTAGCTAGGGTCTTAGGTATGAGTGACTGGTGCCAGGGTTGGGAAATAATTCTTAACTTTTAAAAAATAGCTGGACATGGTGACTCACACCTGCAATCCCAGGTACTCAACAGGCGGAGGAGATCAGGAGGATTGAGGTTTGAGATCAGAAGGAATAAAGTTTGAGGCCAGTGGGTATCTGTGTGGGGGGGAGGTGTTAAACAAAACCTAGAGCTGGAAACTTGGCTCAAGTGATAGACTGCTTGCCTACCAAGCACAAGGCCATGAGTTCAAGCCCCAGTACTGCCAAAGGGGAGGGGTTCTGCTATTTAAACTGACATCCACTCATCTTGAAGCTGAGGATGTGGCTCAAATGGTAGAGCACCTACCTAGCAAGCACAAGGCAAACTCTAGTACCAAAAAAAAAAAAAAAAGTTAATGAGACCCTATATCAATCAATAACCCTGTCATTCTAGCTACAAGGGAGGATACAAGCAGGAGGACTACAGTCTGAGGCTGGACCTAGGCAAAAACACAAGGCCCTACCTGAAAAACAGTGAAAGCAAAAAAGGGCTGGGGCTGTGGCTCAAGTGGTAGAACATCTGCCTAGCAAGCAAGAGGCCCTGAGTTCAACACCAGTACTGAAAAAAAAAAAAAAAAAAAAAAAAAGATTAAAAAGTTCCCTTCGTGGGGGAGAGGGATGGGGTGGGGAGCAGGGGGGAGAAATGGCCCAAACCATTTATTCATTACGAATAAATAAATAAAGAAAGAAAGAAAAAAGAAAAAGTTACCTTCGCCAAGCACCAATGGCTCACGTCTGTAATCCTAGCTACTTAGGAGGCAGAAATAAGGAGGATCGAGGTTCAAAGCCAGCCCAGGAAAACAGTTCACAAGATCCCATTTTGAAAAAATCCACCACAAAACAGGGCTGGAGTAGCCCAAGTGGCAGAGTGCCTGCCTATCAAAAGTTAAGGCTCTTAGAGTTAAAAACCCAGTAATGCCAAAAAAAAAATAAATAAATAAAGGTTCCCATTCAACTCAGTGTGCATAATGCTATTTTTAAGACTTGAAAAATAGGTATGTTTTATTCTAAGAAAGAAAAAGCTAGCACTTATATTTTAATTTATTCAGAAAACATTTATTGAAGGATTGTTACGTGCCAGTCCTTATTCTGGCACAGTGGTAAAGACAAAATCCCTATTGTCATGAAGGTGACATGTAAGTAGGTAAAATAAATAAATAAAATAATGAATGTGTAAAATTATATCAGACAGATACATATTATAAAGAAAAAAAGGGGCAGGAGGCAAAGAATGATAAAAGCGGAAGTGTAGAGGCACAGAAAGTGATAGTGACTTATAATATGCTATGTTTAATTCAGCATGAACTGGTTCAGTACCAACCATGTTTCAAAAAACAGTTTTCCTCCTGTTTTCATATTCCTGTGTTGCAGATGTTTTCTATTACTGCTATTATTTCAGAAAGGAAATCAAATCTCACATGAGATACTGACAGGTGCTTTACAACAAGTAGAAGTTTCAAGCCACACATATTGTGAAAAAAACTTTGAGTGATTTGTCAGTGAGAAGGCTAAGGCCAAAAAGAAGAACACCAAGAATTTGAAATAGAATTTCTTAGCTGGGTGCTGGTGGCTCACACGTAATCATAGCTACCCAGGAGGCAGAGATCAGGAGGATCGAGGTTTGAAGCCAGCCCTAGGGAAATAGTTCATGAGACTCTATCTCAAAAAAACCCATCACAAAAAAGGGCTGGCAGAGTGGCTCAAGTGGCCTAGCAAGCATAAGGTCCTGAGTTCAAACCCTAGTGCCACCAAAAAAGAAATAAAATTTCCTCCCCCACAATTTTGCAATGTTCTTTAGTGCTCACAGACCACAGGCAAGAAAGGTGGGCAATGGTTCAAGGCTGCAAATCATTCTGGCATGGGTTGAAATAGAATTTCAATAAAATGACTCTCTAATCGATATGTTTACTTTCTCTCATATATTAAAAGAAGGATAACAGCAACAGGAAGATATATTTGAATATAGATTCTGCTATTTTTCAATTAAGGATAGCAAAATTAGGATATCCTCTTATTTAAAAGCCACGCCACCTTCATGGTTTTAAGAATATCAGCGAATACTAAAATTTCCTTTCACAAACTTATGTTACATACATTGTTTCAACAATTTGGAAATAGAGTGGTACCTTAATACAAAAATCAAAGGACAAAAATATTCATTTCTTTTTCTTCCTTAGACTATTCTGTTAGCTCCCCAGTACCCTGGATGAAATAGTTGTGTTCTATTCTGTCAAAGCTACTACTCTGGTCTAAATAAATACATATTAGTTTTAAAAAATCTACTACTCTGATACCATCTAAAGCATTTACCTCCCAGATTATACAATTTTTTTTCATTTATACTATTATTCTGCCTGCCTTGTCTTCTTTTTACCTAGTGATGCACATATTCTTCTAGGCATTCATAAATCCCCAAAACTTACTTCTATTTCAGGAGTTCTTAATCATTTTGTGCCATGGACCTCTTTGATAGTTTGGGAAACCCATGGCTGTTGTCCCCTTTCAGACTGCTTTTCTTTTTCTTTAATATGGTGGGACTAGGGTTTGAACAGCGCTTAGCACTTGCAAAGGAGGCACTCTATCACTTGAGCCACACCTCCAGTCCTCAGATTGCTTTTAAAAAACATAATGCATATGAGTATAAAGGAAACCTATTATAGTGAAATATTAGCAAAATAAAAAAATTGATATGATAATACATGCACAGGTTTTTTTTTCTTTTCTTTTTTTTCCAGTTCTGGAGTTTGAACTCAGAGCCTTCATCTTTAGCCACTCCACCAGCACTTTTCTGTGATAGGTATTTTCAAGATAGGGTCTTGCAAACTATTTGCTGGGGCTGGCTTCGAACCGTGAGCCTTCTGATCTCTGCCTCCTAAGTAGCTAGGATTACAGGTATGAACCACCAGTGCCTGTCATTACTGGGGTTTGAACTGTGGGCTTTGGCAATCCCTCAACGTCTGGAACCACACCCCAACTCTCATATAAAAGAACAAGAGTTACAGCAACTCTAGTAACACCATAAATTCAAGTGATAAATATAAGTGATATTCTGAGATAACTGCATTAACGCTAAACATGTTACCAAAAAAATCTGTAATTTTTATTGGCAACAAAGTCACAGGCATTGCTATTATTAGTGTGGTTTGTTCCCTACTTTCATAACTGAAGAACTTTTGCTAATAAAAACGTAATTTTACCTGCATTCGAGTTAAAAGAACCCTTGAATTTTATCCATTGGCGAACCCTAGGTTAAAAACTCTTAAGACTGTGAGTGTAGCCACAGGGCTTGCTTAGCATTCTCAATGTCTGGGTTTCCATCCTCAGCACCTGGTGTGGGGGGAGCACAGTATTCTTAAACGGCTGTGGTGGGCACGCCTGTAATCCCAGCAGCCAGGAGATCGAGTCAGAACGATTATGAATTCAAGGCCAGTCTGGGATACATGGTGAGACCCTATGCTTAAAAAAAAAAAAAAGAAGAAGAAGAAGAAGAAAGAAAAGAAAAGGAAAAGACTTCTGTCTAGTTCAAGACCTGCTCAACTGAGCTTTGTCACAAGAAAGTTTTTTGGTAGTACTGGGTTTCGAACTCAGGGCCTCATACTTTTAGGTAAGCAGGCACTCTACCAGTGAGCCCTTGTCACAAAATTTAAAATAATAATAATTTAAAAAATCCTTTAGTATAGGTCCCATCTGAACCTACCCAACCAAGACTCCCTGTTCTTTTGCAGAATTATGCATAGAATTCTGTGGTTTGCCTAGCCAGCACCCATTACAAGGCTGCCAGTCGTAACAGGTGAAATTTCTGTAGAAAAGATGGAGACAAATCGGCAGTCCCTCACTTGCAGACCTCCATCAGCTCGAGGAAAGCTGCCAAGAACGGTAGAAGGACTGCCCCAGACCCGTGGATGCAGCTTGTCAAGATCCCGGAGGCACGACATCTTCACTAGCTGCGCCTACAAGACATTCCACCTGCTTCTCGCCTCCGGTACTGCGGCCCCCACCTGCCGGGGTTCGCCCGGGTCCCCACCCCAAGCAGCGCGGAGATCCTCGCGTCCTTCCCCTCCCCCACGCGTCCCTCCCTCTGATCGTCCCCAGGCCGGCCGCCCTGGCCTCTGCGCGCTGCTACAACCCCCCTCACCACCACCACCCGGCCTAACCGTGAGGCTCGTCCCTGCCTCGCCCGAGCCGGGGCAGGGCCCAGGGGTCAGAGCTGGCCGGGGCGGCGCGGCCGAAGGTGCAGGCGGCGGCCCTAGGCCGGGACAGCCGGGCGGCCGGGCGCGGAGTCGCGCGCTCCGCGAGAGCGAGCCCCGGACGCGCACTCACCAACGGGCACCTGAGGAGGAGGGCCACCGAGGTTCCCGCTGGAGAGCCAGCCACTCGGCACCGGAGCCCGTCGCCCTGGCCGCAGACTGCCACCGCCGCCCTTGCTGCTGCCGTCGCCGCTCGCCAGTCGGCTTCCCTGCGTCCTGCGGCGGCGCTGCCGCCACGCCAGCGCGCGTGCGCGGCGCCGCGGGGGCCCCTGGGATCGGTGGTCCGGCCTCTGGCCCACAGCTGCCCTTCGCTGCCGGAGGTGGGCGCGCGGGCGGCCGCGCTCGTCAGGGTCCCGAAGTCGCCTCCGCCTCCGCCCGCGGAAATGCTGGACGTGAAAAACCCGCCTGAGCAGGTGCGTGCGAAGGAAAAATTGAGACTCGCACTCACCCGGGACGTTATGCGCATGATTCACACGCGCGCCTCCCTCCCTAGCGGTTGAAAGCGTGGTGAATTGGTTTGGTTGCATCTGGCTTTTCAGTATTCAATCTGCCTTCCTAGTTCTCATTTTCTCATGTTTACCGTACGCTTGACCATACAATTATTTTAAGTAAGTCAACTTGTCTAATAGGTTCCCCGATCCCCACCCCACCCCCGGTACTGGGGTTTGGACTTGGAGCCTTCACCTTGAGCCACTTCTTTTGTGAAGGGTTTTTTCGAGATAGGGTCTCAACGCAGTAGTTGCTCGGGCTGCCTTCAAACTGCGATCCTCCTGATCTCTGTCTCGGAGTAGCTAGGATTACAGGAGTGAGCCACCGGCGCCTGGCCAAAGTTTTTTTTTTTTTTTTTTTTTTTTTTTAAAGGTCAGAGTAGTTTTATTTGTAGAGAAGAGAAATGAAAGGCCGCATGGTGGGACATGCAGTGGGACCCGGGAAGCGGCAGTCCCTTTTTTTAAATAAAGTACGTTATATTCAGAGGTCAAGTTGGCCGAGATAGACATTGAAAGACACCTTAAAGATCATTAGTGCAACTCCCGCCAGACAGCGATTTCCTCCTGCACCCTCAGCCAGATGGTTCCCTTCCTATTTCAACAGTTGCAGTTTCTTGGAGCTCACCACTGTAAGTATTACAGCCTGCCCCATGTTGGACAGCTCTGCGCTTACAAAGTTCTACCTTCTGGTGAGCTGAAATCTGCTTCCCTTCTTACTTCTTTCCATTGCTAGTAGTTATGCTGCCTGGAGCAATGTTTCCCACTCTACAGTCCTTTAAAAAATTGAAAACAATCATAAAATTCCCCAACACTGGGAGTCTCCAAGCAAAAACGAAAAAAGTAATGAAAAATAGATTTCCTATTCCAAATGTGAATCAGCTCCCACGCTGCTTTCCATCTAGTCACCCATATCAATGTGTCCCCTTTTTAAAGATTGTCAGAATTTGCTTCATGTTTCTGCCTCATTTTATTACTACAGTAGTATTTACTACCTGACTTACTGGTCAGGTGTTATTGTTATCATGTTGCCAATCAACTAACTGAGTCAAGAATTCAGTTCAGATTATTTATCAGCTCTGTTACATTGCACAAAGCACCAAGATGAAAAAAGTAACAGGATACAATTTACAATCTAAGGTGCAAAGAAAGTCCCACACATGAAGAACTGTAAAAATAAACTTAGATACAAAGTGCTTTGAGATTGTAGAAAGAGACCTTATCAACTTGAGAAGTCATGAGCTATGGACAAGGTGATGCTTGGGAGTTAATTTAATGACAGGATTTCAAGATGGGAGATGGCATTCATAGATTGCTAAGGAAGAACCCAGCCTGAACAAAATAAACTTGTTCACAGCTGGCTCTGAAGCACTGAGAACTCTAGAGGGGATGGGTTGGAGCACATGGGCCAGAGACAAGGGAAAGAAAAGGCCTTCAAAGTTAGAAAAGGATCTTGAGGGTCCCAAAGAAACTGCATTGTGGGTGTGATAAGTGAAAAGAGACCTGAAGTAGTCAGTTAATTGGCCTGAGCCCTATATTGTCACTTACAAATGAAGAACTTAATAAACTTTTCGATCTTCTTTCTACCCAGCACACCCAAGTTATACCATATGGATCACTACAACAGTGATTCTTGCAGAATATGAAGTAGATATACTTACCACATGTAAAGGGAACCTCAAAAAGTGAAATTTGGGGGGCTGGGCCTGGTGGTACATGCCTGTAATCCTGGCCATGTGGGAGGTGGAAGAAGGAGGATCACAGTCTGAGGCCACCTGGTCAAAAGCAGGAAACCGTACTTGAAAAGGCAAAAAAGCCTGAGATGTCGCTCAAGCAGTAGTGCACTTGCTACCACCAGGCCCTGAGTTCAAACCCCAATACTGTCAAAAAAAGAAAAGAAAATTTGGTCAAAAATAATACTCTTCACTACAGGCAGAGAACCTTGTTGTTACCCTAGAACCTGTCATAGTAATAAATTTTTTGTTGTTATTGCTTAAATGAGTGGAATGAACAGTGAACTCTGTTCCTTTTCTTAGCCATCCCTGACATAGGAGCATATGAGGTAACTTGTTCATAGTCACAAAGTTTACTCTCTGGATGAGAACACAGTTCTTCAGACTCTAACTTCATTCTCTACCTCAGAATTACAGAGCAATGACAAACTCAGAATTTAAGTTACAAAAAAAAGTTCTCTTTCCTTTTAAGTATGAATAGCAACTTTTAGAAGTAAGCTAAAAAGAAGGTGCTTGCGCCAGGTGATTTTGAGGAACCTCTGACAAGTGTTCTGGACAAAAACACTTTATCATCAGGTCTGTCTAAGGCTCACAAACTTTGTCACTAGTTGATATGCTGAATCAAAAATATTAAGAGATGAAAACTTGTTTAAAGTCAATTAAATAGTACTGCTTGAAATCAGGGAAGCCAAAATTATTCACCATTGTTTCCCTGGAACCTGTCATGCTACCTAGAGATAGATGGGGCTTTTTGTTTTTGGTAGTACTGCTGTGAACTCAGGGCCTAGCACTTGCTAGGTAGGCACTTTTGTTCCAAGCCCCCAGGTATTTGTGTTTGATGAATGATTAGAGCTTAGTGTCAGAAATGATGTACTCCACACCTTCATTCTTTTGAATTTGGAGGCCATTCTTCATGACATCTACTTCAAATCTACATGCCTTCCTTCCTTCCTCCCTCCCTCCCTTCCACCCTTCTTTCTTACTGAGACATGGTCTTTCTCAATCCTATCATCTCAGTCTCTTCAGTGCAGGGATTGCACTTGCTGCTATCTCAACCAGTAGGAATCCATTCCTGTGCTTTAAAAATGCATATAGTAGGAGCTGGAGGTGTGGCTCAAGTGGTAAAGCATGAGGCCCTGAGTTCAAACTTCAGTACAGCAAAAAATGCTGGGAGGATGCATGCTTATAATCCCAACACTCGGGAGGCTGACGCAAATTCCAAGTCAGCTTGGACTACGTAGCAAGACCTTGTGTTTAAAAAAAAAAAAAAAAATGCCGAGCATGGAGGAGAATGCCTATAATCCTAGCAACCTGGGAGGTGGAGGCAGGAGGATTATGAGTTTGAGGCCAGTCTTGGCTACATAACAAGACCTTATCTCACCACTACCCCCCCTAAAAAAAAAAAATCAAAGAGGAAGTTCATTAGCTGCGATAGGAGAAGTACAAAAAAAATAGACATGATTTTTCCCTACTATTGCTTCCACCTCAGATAGGTGTTAGGGTGACATATTTTATTCCTGAGTTGTTTGATGGTTGAGTAAGCTAATTATTTTCAATCTTTTAATTAAAAAGACATCTGTGTGACCAATATGAGAAAAATACTTAGATGTACCACTTTTAAGTGCATTTCCAAAAATCTTTGTCAAATTTAAAGTAATCACTGTTTCTCACTGAAAGAAATCTTGAAAACTGACTCTTAAGAGGTGGCTTACTTGAAGCGTTCTAAAATTTTTTCTCATGTATTTTTATGAATAGCATTACCATTATTGTACAGCTTTCAAAGCACTTTTACATAAATTTCATACTCACAACCCCCCAGACAAACAAGACAGAAATTCCTGACATTAAATATACAAAGAAACTGAGGCTCTGAGAGTTTTTTTTTTTTTTTTCAAGGTCATGTGCCTTCTTAGTTTAACTTTCCCCACAAGAAGCCATATGGGAGAGTCTCAATTATCATGGTCTAAAGATTCAACTGGCAGCTGGGCTCACACCTGTAATCCTATCTACTTGGGAGGCAGAGATCAGAACAATCTTGGTTCATGAGACCCTATCCCGAAGAAACCCATCATTAAAAAAAAAAAAAAAAAAAACTCGTAAACTAGATATGCCCTTCCTGTGTCTTTCAATTACTCATTTTCTTTCAGAAAGTAAGACTTCAGATCTACAGGACTTCAATCCCAAATAGTACTACCTCTGCTTAGCTTCCTGAGATCAAAAGGGAAACCGAACTTTTTTTACCCATAGGAGCACAAGTGAAATGAAGATGGTTTAAATAACTGGATAAAAGCCTACCTTTGCTTACTGTCTATTATTAAAATACTTGTAAAATATTTGTACAATATGTAACTACCCTGTGTCCTATAAACCTGAAGTTCAGGTTGACAACTGAGACTACACAGGTTAAAAATCAAACTTCCAAGTCTCAAATCTTGGCTCCACATTTTCTCAGTGGATCTCCTGTGCAAGTTTCTTAAACTTTTAGGGCTTCAGATTTCTTTGTTCTAAAATAGGGGTAAAAAATACTTTCACATGAATTACAAGATGGCAGGCCTGTGCCCCTGGGACTGTCGTAGTGTCCCATGTCAGAGAAAACTGTGGCTCCAAACCATTGCCTGGCCTCTGCCTGTAGGCTCCTGGCACTGTGCACAGAGGAAAGAAAGAAAAAGAATTAAAAGAAATACTGTATGCTGGGCACCAGTGGCTCATGGCTCAAGGTGTAGGCCCTAAGTTCAAGCCGCTGTACTGCAAAAAAAAAAAAAACAAAAACCAAAAAACTGTATGTAAAGTGCTTAACAGTGTCTAGCACTTAATTATTGATAACTTGGCATGGATAATCTTATTAGCCTTTAACATACAGCAAGCAAGTTTTCTCCATGCACTGTCCTATCCAATCCATAAGGCATTATGCTTTGGAATATACTATAATATACACAAATACTTGGATTCTGAAAGATACTACAAACTACCAATATACTCAATCCTTTCGAAGTTAGATACTACTTTTCTAAATGTTAGAAAAAGGAGTTGCAAAAAGTTTACACCATTAATCAAGGTGAAGCTGAAATTAAGAGCTTAGCATTTTAATGGAAATATACTGATTTAAACAGCAAAATTGCTTTATATGATATACAGCTGTAATGTGGCCAAATGGTGATTTTTATCTTGATACTGGACTGATGCAACCCAAAGAAGGGTCAATGTTGCGGCAGTATTACAAGCCCTGTTGAAAGAGATGCATGATGCAATCTCTATAGTAAGAATATAGTCAACTCTGAGTCACTAGTAATATAACCTTTGAAGAGTACTGAAGGAAAAAAGAAAATTCTTTAATATTGACTCATAGACTCAACATGTTAGTGAACTGTGTGTGAGATGTTTCAATAGTATC